GGACATAGGGTAACTTTTATCCAGAAGAAAAAATGCTGTTCCCGAAGGATAAAAAAATTATTAGTTTTATGCGGGTAAAATCTAGTAAAGTATAATAATGTGCAATGCATATATTAGCTGTTGAAATTTTTGTTTTTCGGAAAGATAAAGCAAAGCCTCTTGTCGCGTCTATATGTACATCCCTTTATTTAGACTACTGATCGATTTTGTCCAGTCAGACGCATTTTTGAATATCAGCAACCACTATTTGAAGCTTTTTTGAGCAGGTCTTTCGCTGGCAAGACCCCTTTACCCTTTTCGATTCGTATAGCAATGCAGCATATACATATACACATACAACGTCGATCACACTTGACTAAAAATGTCTACTTTTGGTATTTAGATACACGTCTGACGCTTAATTTATTGACTGGATCAATTTTACCAAATGAGATGGATCATTAGATTTTTTTACAACATACATGATATAAGTAGGTGACATGAAAAGGCATCGCTTATAGAATGTTTATGAAACTAATCTAGGAGTTTTTAAATATTTATTTCGTCAAATTTTTTAGTCTTTAATTTAAACGACTGAAACTGAATTTGCTTATAACGATTTTAATTTCCTAAATAAAGGTCTACCCCATTTTTATGCACTAATCCTTATTTAACTGAAATACTATACTATATATAGATAGCACTGCTAAGGACACTACTTCTTGTATTATTTTGAAAAATATTTTATAAATTATTTTATTAATGATCCACTTTTCTTTACAAATATAAACATATGTATATACAAAAAAAAAATGTTTATTAAAAATTTTTGAATCAGTACAACAAAATGGAATTCAATTTTTATAAATACTATAAAGAAGCACAAAACAACAGAAACATAATTTATTTATCTGAACATTTACGTGAAAAATCCACGATAATTTGTGCAACTACTACCATTTATGTATGGTAGTTTACACTGTAGAAGTGGTGAAATGGAAAGACTTTATGAGAACCTTTGTTCACAACATATTACATACAATTTACTTATTTAACCTTCTTTGCTTCAGTCTGTTTCTTTTCCTCCTGTTTTTCTTCCTTGTGATTATCAGCGTCTTCATACCTACAACATTAACAAAAGTAATGACCATTTACACATAATGTACATTATTACAAAACTTACTTTAATAGGGCCTTTATATCACCTTTAATAAGTGCTACAATTAATGGAGTTCCTAAACAGGCTGGAACTAAGTACAAGAGTGCAGGTTGAGCATGTTTAAACATGTGCATAACAAAAATAGTAGCCATAAGACCCAAAAAGTATGCTACAAATGTTGCATGAAAATACAAGTTGGATTTACGTTTTAGGCTTTGATCGAAACGTAACAGAAGAGCAATAAAAATTCCAGGAACAACTATGTCTCCGAGTCCTAACATTGCAAAATTATTGGCAGCGAGACCATGTGTCAGGAGGTCTTGCGGAAAGACAACTTAAAAAACAAAGAAAAACCAAATAAGGAACTCGAAAATATTCTATTCCACGGGCATATGGAGCAACTTATATTATGCTCTTTCAAAGTAAGATAAATTTGCAGTAAAATTTAAATAAAAACGTAGCAAATTCAGATAGAACTCATTTGTGAAGTTATTAGATATAGTAAAAAACTTACGTTTAATAGGGGCTTCAAAGCTTTTGGCAACAGTTACCATGACATCTGTCCCAAAAACCCAAAATATATCGTAAATAAAAAGACCAAGTAGTAAAATACAACCGGTTATCACATTATTTAAATGTAACAGTTCCACCGCATTAATAGCAAATGCTAAACCAAACAGGTTGTTAGCAACCCAATGCTTTTGAAACAGATACCAAGCACCTACAAATGAACAGCAGACAAGAGCGACAATGTCATAAGAGGTGAATTTGTAGTCTATTATATCTTCATTTGGTTCACCCCGACCTTGTCGAAAGATTAATTGGTAGTGGACATTGGGTAATGAAGCCGGGACTAATTTACTAACAATTGGACTAAAAGTATTCAATAGAATTAATTACAACAAAGAATATAAGGTAAATGTTTCACTTAGTATGGTCTCCTCCAATTTCGTTGATATTTTAGTATGTTGTACAGATTAGGGTAATAATTAATAATATGTATGTATATATCCTTAGACACTGTACATCATACTAAAATTTCAACGAAATCAGAAATGAGCATATTAATTAAGACATTTACCAAAAATAATGTACACTACTATGCAGTAGACTTGAATTTAATTAACACAATAATACGTTTAAATGATATTTTGATATCGCCGATATTTTTATAATTTATAGTAATTTTAGTGATAAATTTTTCAATATATTGAATTAAAATACCCTTTAAGTTTTAAAAATAGCATATTGTCACATATTGTTATG